ATAGGGAAACATTTTAAAACTTTTAACTGTTTTGTTTATTTTTGAAAGAGAGACAGAGGCAGCATGAACAGGGGAGTGTCAGAGAGAGAGGGAAACACAGAATCTGAAGCAGCCTTCAGGCTCTGAGCTAACTGTCAGCACAGAGCCTGACGCGGGATTCGAACCCTTGAACTGTGAGATCATGACCTGAGCTGAAGTTGGACACTCAACCAACTGAGCCACACAGGTACCCCTAGGGAAACATTTTAAAACAATTTCCTGCTGATTGATGTATAGAAATAGTTTATTTTAAAAAATTTTAATTTATTGTCAAGTTGGCTAACATATAGTGTATATGGTGTGCTCTTAGTTTTGGGGGCAGATTTCTTTGATTCATTGCTTACATACAACACCCAGTGCTTACCCTCACAGGTGTCCTCCTCAATGTCCATCATCCATTTTTCCCTTTCCCCCACTTCCCCATCAACCCTCTGTTTGTTCTCTGTATTTAAGGGTCTCTTATGGTTTGCCTCCCTTCCTCTCTGTAACTATTTTTTCCCCTTCCATTCCCCTATGGTCTTCTGTTAAGTTTCTCAAGATCCACATATGAGTGAAAACATATGATATCTGTCTTTCTCTGACTGACTTATTTCACTTTGCATAATACCCTCGAGTTTCATCTATGTTGCTGCAAATGGCAGGATTTCTTTCTTTCTTATTGCCAAGTAGTATTTCATTGTATATATAAACCACATCTTCTTTATCCATTCATCTGTCAATGGACATTCAGGGTCTTTCCATAATTTGTTGTTGGAAGCACTGCTATAAAGATTGGGGTACACGTGCCTCTATGAATCAGCACTCCTTTATCCTTTGGATTAATTCCTTGTAGTGATATTGCTAGGTGGTAGGGTAGTTCTATTGTTAATTTTTTGAGGAACCTCCACACTGTTTTCCAGAGTGGCTGCACCAGTTTTCATTCCCATCAACAGCGCAAGAGGGTTCCTGTTATGTGTAGAAATAGTTTAAATTAAATACACATATCATAAATTTTGGCCCAATTTTAACACTGCTCTCTAGTTAAAATACACAGTACCTATGGTGGTAAATATGGGATGACCTTTTACTGTTTTGTTTTTTTTTTCAGTTTTTATTTATTTACTTATTTTGAGAGAGAGAGAGAGAGAGAGAGCAAGCAAGCAGAGGAATGGTAGGGAGAGAGAGAAACCCAAGCAGGCTCTGCACTGTCAGCCTGAAGCTTGATGCAGGGCTCGAACTCAGGAACCAGGAGATCGTGACCTGAGCCCAAACTAAGAGTCAGACACTTAACTGACTGAGCCACTCAGGAGCTCCGTGGTATGACCTTTTTTTAAAATTGAAATATACTTGACACACAGGGTTATGCTGGTTTCAGGTATACAGTATCATGATTCAACAAATATAAATGTTATGCTATGCTCAAAACTGTAGCTATCATCTGCCACTAGACAACACTATTAAAATACCATTTATTATATTTCTTATGCTGTACCTTTTATCCCCACGACTTATTTATTCCATGATAAAGGACACCAATTAAAAGGGGAGGGGCAAAATGGGTAAAGGGGAATGGAATATACCCCATTACCCATTTTTCCCATCTCCTTTTTTTTTCTGTAGTACATTTTGTTTATTCATTCATTGATTTATGAACATTCATGTGCTTTCCACTTTTGACTATTATGATTAGTGTGCCATGAACATTCCTGTAGAAATTTTTGTTTGAACACTTGTTTTCATTTCTTTTGGGTATATGCCTAAGAGTGGAATTGCTAGGTCTTATGGTAATTCTTTTTTCTTTTTAATAGTTTATTGTCAAGTTGGTTTCCATATAGCACCCAGTGTTTATCCACACAAGTGCCCTCCTCCATGCCCATCATCCCCTTCCACTCCCCCTACCCCATCTTCCCTCAGTTCTCAGCATTCAAGAGTCTTTCATGTTTGATTGTTGTTTTAAAATTGTAAATATGAGCCAGAACAAAGTCTAGGAATCTGAGCAGTGATTTAGACTTAAGGAGAAGAAGAATGGCTACCAATGATAACAGAGACCCAGGCCTCATACCATTTAATAATCAAGGCAAAGTTGATTGAAGCCACTACCATTATAGTCTGGTAAAACCACTGATTTTACTCTGAATCTTTCACTTGTAGTTTGTTAATCATTTCAGGAAGTTAAACATCTCATTAGTATCAGTGTGCTTATTTGCACACTTATTTGAGGGTACCAATTCTGTATTCTAGGAGTTGTTGTAAAGAAAAAAGTACAAGTTTCATAGTTATGTATAAAAATAGTAAGTATTAAATTGTTAATCCCTTAAACTGCTTTCCATACTATTATTTTCTTTAAAAACTACCATTTTATGTTTACTTAATACAGAATATGATTTATGCAGGAGTCCATGCCTCCTTGAAAGTCCATTTTATATAAATCCATTGGATATAATATATGCCTCAAGAACCAGAAGCCAGTTGCAGTCTCTTATCTTACCATTTATTAGTGATATAATAATAATAATGATCATGATAGCGATAACAGTAATACTAGTAAATAATGGCTTATTTATTTATAACTAGTGGTTGACATTTATTGTTCTAAGTAACTAACATGCATTGAATTTCTTTAGTCTTCATCAAAAGATTGTTTCTCCATATTTTATAAATGAGGGTACTAAAACTTAAAAACATTTGAAAAATAAATGTATTCGAGGCCACACATCTGGTAGTTGACTAGGTTAATATTTGAACCAAGATATCTCACTCAACAACTCATGATACATATGATCATTCATAGAGGTCAGTGCTGCTAATCCAACAGTAAAATAACTCTATGTGTGCCTCTTCCACTTGCCTTCATTTCTGAGCAGACCCATGTGGCTAGGCTGCCAAATTACTTTGTGTACTGAAAGATCAGATTAGTTTTAACTATTTAGCTTTTCTTAAGTAGCTTTGAAGTTTGTACTTACTACTACTTTCAAGAAATTCTTAAAGCGCTCTCCTCAGAATGCAATACTAATATTCACTCAGCTAGGGTAAGGAAGAGCCAAAGGAGATAAGAATTCCAAATAAATAAGATAAAGATATTTCGTTTTGTTTTTATTTTTCTTTTTTCAAGCTGGTACCAGTCTAAAGGTACTGCTGGAGGATGTTTCCCAATGAACGGGATAAAGTAATTGTCTCTGTAGCAGTGATATCACTGGAACAATATTGGATATGTTGTGCATGTGCAGTCAAAAGGTCATTTTTCCCTCTTTTTTAAATGTTTCTTTATTTATTTAGAGAGAGCATGCACATGACTGGGGCAGAAGCAGAGAGAGAGGGAGACAGAATCCCAAGCAAGCTCCATGCTGTCAGTGCAGAGTTTGACATGTGGGCCTTGATCTCATGAAACAGGAGATCATGACCTGAGCCCAAATCAAGACTTAGATGCTTAAACAACTGGGCCACCCAGGAGGCCCTTTCCTCCTCTTTTCTAATTGACAATATCTGTTCTCCCTTGGTTTTCTACTCAACATGCTGATCACCACATTGGTAAAATCTCTCAAAGGCTATGACTACCACTTCTGGTTGTAGCTTACAAAATTTCCAATATTTATGGGATTAGGTTTCTAGTTTCAACAATAATTATGGTCTTTTCCAGTCAACTTCAGCTAAATAACAAAAGTATTATTATTTTCTCTCTTTATTTATTTCTGGAAGAGAGCAAGCAGGGGAGAGACAGAAAGGGGGGGGGGGAGAGAGAGAGAGAGAGAATGAATCTGAAACAGGCTCCACACTGTCATCACAGAATGGGATAGAAGGCTTAAATTCATAAACCGTGAGACCATGACTTGAGACAAAATCAAGAGCTGGATTCTTTTTTTTTTTTTTTTTTTTAGGAATTAGTATTTTTATTTTTTTTTTATTTTTTTTTTTACAAATAGTTTATTGTCAAATTAGTTTCTACATAACACTCAGTGCTCATCCCCAAAGTGCCCTCCTCC